TTAGATAGGAGCTTCGTGCTCAACTTAGTTATCAATCTTGTCATATTAGTTTGACATCTTTGATACAAGTAACGAGTTCACTTCCAAGTGAACAACCCGATAGTCTTCTTCTTATCATAGCATACCAACCAGCGAACACCCAGCCAAGTTTAGTTAGCCAGTTTGAGTATTCGTTACACTAACCCTAACCCGCGAGGCGCGAATTAGGGGTGACAGTGAGGGAGAGAAAAGGAGGGTGATAGTGAGGGTAGATAGGAATAGCTTTATGTGTTAGCTTTAAATGTCGCGAGTTATATACACGCATTTCCTAATCACACCTAAAATCGTACTAGGATAGAAACGCTGGGACACCGAGTCCGGTGAGAGTGGGTCAATATTCATTATAGTAGGATCAGTATACATTATAGTGAGACTCAGTTTAACACTTTGGCTATAGCTAATCTGGTCAGGGGAAAGGGGAAAGGGGAGTTCCGCATATTCCGATATCTCGGCATTTCCACTTTAGTAGTATTTTGGGTGTAAGTAGGAAACGCGTCTTCATAGCTCACAGTACCCTAGGACTTCGTTCTTATAATAACAACAAAGCAGCGTTCGGTAAATGGTACTTGATTCTATAGATTCACCAGGGGGTGTTAGAATTTTAGACGTAGTCCTGGATTTTAGCCGTAAATATACTAAAAACACCCTGCTTTACTAAATTATTTATCTCAGCCCTCAGCCGCTGGGTCACATGGCCGATTTCCCCCCCGGCCCCCGGCCCCCGACCCGACCNAAGCTCCTATCTAATGGCAGACGTGCCAGTCTTATATAGAACCTTCGTTCTCTCTACATCGCCTACATCACCTGTCGATGTAGTCGACCTCCTATCGCTAACATCGACTGTCGATACAGGCGATGCGATTGATCACGTGACTACATACACGAGAAATCCTTGGATCGCTTAGCTAGTCTAAGCATCCCTATTTGCTATAAGAAACCTGGATGTGCCTGTCGAGGGTTGCGCCTCTTTATTATGACAAGTATCACGTGAGCACGTGATTCGTGACAGTTAGGGTTGGGGCTATAGGTCAGGGTTAGTAGAACACCCTTTTTATTAAAGTTTTTATTTGTTTCTATAGTATTCGCGACAAGGCACTAATAGCGTTTGTTACCTGCAAATATCCCCTGTTTTAAGGTACTGTATCGAGGAGTTAATAAAGCTACTTTAGTGTTTTTAGGACTCCGAGCGGCGGAAGGCTCGGAATGCCCTGAGTGCAATATTAGGTTAGTTAATATACATTGCAGTGAGATTAGTATGCATTATAGTGAGACTCGTTAAACTATATAGGAAGAGTTAGTGAATGTTTTTACTAGGTTATCAAGAAACTATAAATCTTCTTAGTAAGTTTCTCTTCTCGTTACTGAAGGTTTGTAATCAAGATGACTTTCTCAAAAGGGAAAAATCTCGCATATTTATTCGACTATGAAAATTATTTTATAAACATACTAGGAAACTGGCGGATAGAATTGGATAAAGCTATTACTTTATATCGCGCTAGTGGTATATCAGACATGCTGTATTCGTCTAGCGATTTCTCATTCCCTTAATTAGGCGTAGCTTTTTTCGAACTTAAGCTTTGAGCTCATTTGTTCTAATTGACGCACCTCCTGATCGTGTAACATCTGGTCTTTGAAAACATAGTAGATCAACCATATACGGCAAGAGATACGTGATCTCCTATCGCACGCTAACGAACGTGGAACACTTTGCGAAAACTCACTTAACCTAAATTCTATACCGTGGTAAATCGGTGTTAAAAGAAATGCTAGGGTGGGGCGAGTGGAGTACGGAGTAGTATAGCACAGTGTAAACTAGACGCTCCTACTCGCTAGAATCCCTTTTCTTAAGCGTAGAAGATTGCGATAAGCGAGAGCTTCTTGTTATCAAACCTTTCTACCTAATAACCGGTAGAAAGCTATTCTATAAATAGCCTGAAAGTAGTCTCGCCGCTTCTCTGTACTCCACTCACCCACCCTAGCATTTCTTTTAACATCGATTTACCACGGTACATGATCTACCAAGCCACAGACGATGTATCAAAAATCGGCAGTAGATATTGTTGGAGCCTTGAGGTCACCCAAGATATTGCTCCTTGATTTGAAATAATTGAACTCATTGCTCTAATATTTTTAGGCTAGTTGCTCACATTGCCTTTTCGTCTCGCAACGACCGATTCAGTTGCTCTGCTCAATCGTAGAAAGCTAGAATAACGAAAGTCTAAAAGATAGTTTCTGCCGCTTTTAATCTATTCGATCATTCGCAGTTCGACGCCCCACCACACTCAGTCACCGAGGGACTCCTCATCTATCCCCCATTCATCTTCTATATATTCACACACACTTTGCAAGAACTTACGAGGGCACTTCGCATGCAACTTCATTCTAAATGATGACTTTTATTTCCACAATTTTTGTAGAGTTGATAAGCGGATGGACTCTTGCAGTAGCTGTGCTGCTCGCCACGGTTATAGTGAGTTTTCTCATAGGCTACGATCCATCATTACGTACTCGCCCTGACGTGTGAATCTCCAAGTGGTCTTTGAGCATTCCCATTTATAACATTTACTTCCATCCGCTCTCAAAATATCCCGGACCGAAGCTTTGGGTCGCGTATCAGTTTACATCCCTTTGGTCTCCGTTGAAGGGGAAATCAGTACACGATGTCGAAAAGATTCACGCTTATTATGGTCCCATTGTTCGCATTGCGCCCAGTGAAATCTCGGTCGCGGGTCCGGATGGATGGAAAGATATTTATGCCACAAGACCAGGCCACAAAATATTTCCCAAAAATGGCATTTGGTATGAACCTCTTTACCTGCTCGGCTGTCCAAACGTTACATTATGTTACATGATTCCAGTTCTCGTCATCTACTGCTATTGACAGTCTCTGTGCTAAGCTATATAATCAGGTATGGTGGGAAGGCTATAGGACAGCCAGAGTCCCTCATTAATGCAGAGCAACCAGCGGATCACGAACGAATGAGACGGTTAATAAACCCTACCTTCACCCCGAAAGCCGTGGAAAGCCAAGAGAGCACCGTACAATTCTACGTTGATTTGTTAATATCTAAGCTCCGAGATCGCGCTGCTGCCAAAGAGAGTGTTGATATCGTGTCATGGTACAACTTCACAACCTTTGACATTGTTGGGGACCTTGGATTTGGCGAGCCTTTCAACTGTCTCCAAGATAGCCAGTACCATATCTGGGTCTCAACGATATTCACGCATTTTAAAAATACATTCATGCTTGGGGCCTTGGGATGTTATCCCTTACTCTCAAAGGTATTGCGCGCTTTGATACCATCTAGTGTACGCAAACCCGCCTTGCGGAATAGAGCGATGTCACAAGAGAAGGTCCACCGTCGCTTGAATTTGGAGAAGGAGCGAAATGACTTCATGACCCCAGTCATTCGTGGTGAGGATTCTAAGAGCATGTCTCTTTCCGAGATCGAGGGGATCTTTTATACCATCATCGTGGCAGGGAGTGAGACGACAACAACGGTTCTATCTGGGATCACCAATTATCTGACGCGAGACGCCGCTGTCATGAATCGTCTCTGTGCTGAAATTCGCTCAGCATTTTAGAACGAGAAGGATATTAATTTTTCGGCTACAAGGAATCTTCCATATCTGAATGCAGTGATTCAAGAAGGAATGCGCATGTGTCCTCCTACGCCCGCAGGTATTCCAAGAATTGTACCACAAGGATGTGACACCGTTTGTGGCTACTGGTTCCCGGGAGGTGTATTTCACGAATTATTGTCAATGATATAGCCGACCATCTCGCTAACTATCTCTTTTCTAGACAAACATTTCCCTCCACTCGTGGTCAACTTACAGATCTTCAGCCAACTTTCACAACCCATTACAATTCGTTCCTGAGCGCTGGCTTCAAAGTAGCATAACCGATGAGACCAGTCCTTATTATAATGACAAGCGTTACGCGGTCCAAGTATTCTCTCTTGGTCCTCGAGGTTGCCTTGGAAAGAATCTCGCTTGGGCGGAATTGCGGCTCATACTGGCGAGAATGATATGGAATTTCGATATAGAAATAGCTTGCGATGCGGATGGAAATGCAAAGTTGCTAGATTGGACGAAGCAGAAGACGTGGGTACTGGTTGAGAAGGAGCCTTTGGAAGTGAAACTCACTTCAGTACAAGTCTAGCCGTGATATTGCACGTCGCCATAAAGCCGAGTATGATGAGAACCTGTCTTGGGGTTATTTGTGTTGAGTATCGTTCCAATTCGTAAAGTGCTTTTTGTTGCTTTTTGTTAGATGCGCAGAATAAAGTGTTTATGAAAATTGGCATGTCCACGTAAGACCCTGGCAGTAGCTGAAAGCTTTGAAATTCTATGTAACTTTCGCGGCCCTCTACTACGAAGCTTTACCTCCTAATTTGATGAGCCTCAAAAATGACTGAAGCCCATATCAACCAGCTAATAGGGCTTGCTATGGTTGGCAAAAAGCTGGGACCAATCATATCAGGATATAAAATGAGCTGTGTTGGTGGAGGACGGCGGGTGATGAAGAACGCCAAAACCCTGACCGCCATCTTCGCCGAAAAAAAGCAAAAGCGATTAAGGAAGGGCACCGACGTATTCAAAATACCCAGTGATCCAATGATACTCGTCCCAGAAAATTTGCAAGAGTAGATGATCGTCGCTCGACTCCCGAACCTGGAAAAAGGTGCTTTCGGAGATTTCACGTCCTGGTTATTCGACTGAATCCAAACACGTTGGGTACGTTTGGGCTGATGGAGGCTGAGAAGATGGTGATTGATAGGCCTCGTGGCTGATGGCTGATTGAAGAAGAAGGGAAATCTGTTCTCTTATTCGCATTGAACATTTAAGTGGCTGGACGAGGCGTACATACACCGTATTATATCAATTGGCTATGAATATCAAGTCTATCAACCGACCATTAGCAGGAATTGTGGTAAACTTCCGAATCTAACTGTTGGCAGAGTAGTCTGTGATACGTGTCTTGCTTCTCTGGCAATCCAAATTCTAACTATCGAAGGCGCATCCATGAGGTTATGCACTCACTGCATCATGGTCGACGTAGAGTTTAGGGCGAGAATTTGCTGTGTGTTTTTTGGGGATGCGCCAGCCAGTCGGATACCATTTACTAAACAACAATTGCATGCACTTTCAGAGAAATGTCATACCCAACCTCTCGTGAAACCATGGCGGTGTGAAGTTTTTCAATTTCGATGAAAATGTGCCATCTGGTGCAGGCGAGTATGACCTCGAAATTTGAAGATGCGTTGGGTGGAATTGCATCTCGATACCTTGAGCCCAAGGACTATAAAGGCGATGAGACAGATCGTGAGGTTGTTCCCTCCTTTTCTGCTACACTTGTAGAGCACCGAGAGAAGCGTGCTCCATCTCACTCTGTTCGGCTGCCGTATCAAGACCAAGTTTTGTTCCGAACAAAGGGTTAGTTACTGCTTCTGTCTAGCCGTCCATAAGATGTGCTGATTCTGATGTTTTTCTTTTCAGCTAGGCGAAGAGGTTCCGAGGTTTGCAGCGCACCCTTCCACCCATTTCCTTCAATGTCTCAATCCCCGGAAACCCATACATCGGAAGACGTCACCACTTCCCGGTAAGATAAAATAAAGAACTATCGAGTGGCTGGCAACTAAGTGGATTAGGTCAAACGAGCACTTTACCAAATCCACCTGGGCTGACGAGGATATTCCAAGATACAACGACGATTTGATCACCAATCTGGAGATACCAACCAATTCACGCGAGAGAAGAAAGATAGCAGCGGGCAAGCGCAAGGCGGCAAGGATGATAAAAAGGACTGGCGTGGTATAAAGTGTGCGGTAGATTGTGAAAGCTGGGACCTGAAAGAGGCAGTTGGAAAAACCATGTATCTGTGCTGTTGTAATACTTTGTGTTTCAATATACTGTTGATTGCGTCAAAAGGTCTCCCTCCCCTGTAGCCAGTGCCATGAGCGTAAGAAAGCAATTAAAAGCTTGTACTGGCAAGTGGGAGTGTAGAGGATCGTTCTCCTCCAATAATGATGTCTGAACTTCAATCCCCCTGTAACCTCAAAAAACTTATCGACATCTTACATGATAGTGACACAACTACCGTCAGTATCGATATCAGTTTTATCACCTCATACAAATCCAATGCAACAAAGGCCCGCATGGGACGGGCCTGGCCGTGCTGCCATTGAAATGCAGATACAGATATTAGGTAGGTAGCAGATGGGCATCAATCTTCAGCATCAGATGGCTGGAACTTTTCTCCAAGCCTCAACTGGGTGAACCCATCAAAGTGGTAAGGCAATGCAATCGCTGATGCTACCCCGCATAGTTCCTACCGCCCCGTCCTGTTCTTTGGTTCTGAGGTCATCTACTGTACCGTAATCCCGGCATCGTTTTTATGCAGGCCAAAATGGAACCGTACATTGAGAACAGTGGAAAACACTGCGGAGTTCATCAGGCCAACGTGCGTGCCACATATTCGCATGCAATACCCAACATTGTGCTTTGTCGTGAGGCTGTCCAATAGCCACAGGGTTGGGACTCCCCAAATATGGTAATAGTAGTCGTTCTTGACGTCTCTGAATTATTTGTTAGTGATATCGTAGTAGGATTTGGCTCACTAACGCTCACTGATGTGCTTCAGTTCGACTCCATGCCGCAGCCCCACATATGTGTGTGCCGACATACAATACTTTATGTAAGTGCTGAAAATCGATACTGCACATGTGTGATTGGCACATCGGAGAATATGTAATAGGCAACCATACCAAAAATATAAATAGCCACAGGCTTAGTGATCCACTAAAAATTAAAAGGGCAGGTCCATCCTCCAACATATTATTGTAAAGCATACACAAGCTTGGAAGTAACTATTCTCTTTCCTTATGATCTGGTTTGACGTAGATATCCAATTTCATTGGGCTCGTTTGCGTTATACCCCGCTGAGTGAAGTGAGCACATACTAAATTATACAGCCGTCTGCTATTTTGTTAAAACCAACTTTGTAAGATTTCACCATGAATGAAAAGAATCTCATTCCAGGTGCAGAACTGAGGACTTCGTAAACGAGAACGACTGTGCAACGCATGTTCCATACAGAGTGCGAGCCAGAAGCTGGATTCGAAGAGACATTACCTCCACACGGCACCCGAATTCGCTCAACGCTGCATCACTGATTCGAGAGCAACGAACAGGTTTGGTAAATAGAAGTGAGGCGACTTTGAGGCTTAAATAATAGCAAATGATATAATTTCATCCAATGAATTGTATCAACAACAGGACTTATGCTACCCCATTGTCGCCTCAACCAGACTATTGGCCAAACGTCCATGTTGTAACACCAGTCAAGGCGAAAATCAACCCAAATCGATAGGCGAGTTTTGAATTGGGATTCTACTGGGAAAGCATTGAGAGGAAGGTGAAAGGTTGAAAACTTTAAATAAATTTGGACAAGGATTTAACCATGAATGATGGCTTGATCGTGTGTCCTGGTAGAATAACGGTCAGCCTGAAAGAAGAGGACGAATGTAGGGGTCTGGTCTCTGCAGGATTCGATGCATTATGGTTGGGATATCTTTACGGCGGCTCCTTTTCGAAACTCCCATGAAGCTATCATGGGGTGCGAGAAATTGTAACTAAATAAATGTAGGAGATTCTTTACTTCCCAGATCTAATTTTTTCGTGCAAGCTCAAAGAATCAATTGAATTCTTCTAGAAGATTGAAACGACTAAGTCAATATAACCTTTTATTGGTCTACAAGCGATGGGACAAATACTGAGAGTAAGCGTGTTGAGACTGCAGTCATGAACGGCTGAATCGTTAATTGTGGCTTTCGATGATAGCGATCATGAGCAAGGAAACGCCATGGAGATTGTTACTTCAAATCCACAGCATATCTCGTACATGATCGTGGCGCTGTCAAGACGACATTATATGACTAGGTATATGTGATCTACGGAATGAAAGCGACGAACACATAAAAGTGTCGGGAGAAAAATAAGTGGGGACGAAAATGAAGAGGACAGGCGATTGGATCAGGAACGAGAAGTAGTGTGGCCCATCAGACACACTCATTGCTCAAGCATGCCGTCCATCACGGCTGCATTACCCCGCATTCGCGAAAGGGAATGAAACAATTCTGATATCATTTTCCTTGTGCAGGAATATCGGTAGCAATTTGATCATGTGAGAAACCGTAACCTGATTGGTAGAATTTGGAAAACTCGGAAATGGACGACTAACTGAGGCTCGTTTGGGGATGCAAGTTATCCTTTTTGTGAACAATAGAACTCGGGCGTAAATCAATCGTGTTTATAAAACTTGAGAGCTTGCAGTATGCCAATCTCAGTTGCAAAATCTTCTTCTCCCATTCTCTGCGCGTATCTCAAACACGGGTACCACAGTCCTGAAACCACTTGGATATGAGAACCAACAAAGGGGAATGGACTTTTTCAACTTTTGGCATTGTAGCAACTCCAAGATGTCTCGCCAAAACAGAATCAATAGAAACGTAGCGGGATTGATACCATCCATTGAGCAAAGCCTTTGTATATCTCGGAGGTAGCACATAACATCAATCCTCAGTACAGAAGCATTCGCTAATATAGCTCCAAGAAGTGCCATGATTTCCTCAGAGCACCTTTCGTTGTCTACCTGGGCTGATGATGACCTGACAACATACGAAGCCAACAAAAGGAAGCCCAGGTTCGGCAAAAACGGCGGCACCCAAATGCAGTTTGGGAGAACCCCGTTGGAAAGAAAGAGTATGCGGAGAAGCACGCATCGAAGTCAACGTCACATTCGATACTTGAGTCGACATGCTGTGGTAGCTAGAAGCGTTTTGAGGCGAAGAATGATGTGATTTGACAAGTATCTTTCAATCACGTACTTGTAGTGTGTGTTGGTGGTGAACCTTGAAGCTTGGACTTTGCTTTTCTTGAATTGGGGCATATTTGGTGCCTGAGTTGTATGGTATTTTGCGCCGACAAGTGAGACAGGCATCCTGAGTGGTACGAGATTATGTGTTTGTCAAAAAAGGGTTTCAAGCGGTTGCCTTCCCGACTGTCCACTGGTGAGCTTGTTTTGGGGTTTTCTTGAATGTACTCCGATATAGAATATGAAGTAGCTAGTATGGCCCAATAAAATTGAATTTCCGTATAAAAAGGCCTAGCAAGATCGTTAGCCAAAAGACATATATGCAAGAAACAAGTAGTGATTGTATGTTACTTCAACACATGCCAACAACCCGTCGTGTAATAAGACCTTTTTTGCCATGGGGTTTTGAGTTAATCTCGCACCAATATACTACTTTCCTTCCAACAACGCCCGAGTAAAGTTAAGAAATTCACTAGCAGAAGCAGAGCTACATTTATAGATGTGTAGTCGGGCACAAATATCAATATGTGGCGTGCGCTGAGTGAGGAGGATGTTGGGTACCAGTGCAGGGAGTCGCGTTAACCGAGGACGCGTTGCAACCGAGTTTGAGGGGTTCGGAGATGGATGAAGCTTTTTCCGACAACAATGCTTCGGTGCTTATTCCGCGATACGATATTCAAATCGCGATCCATTGAACTTTAAATTTGCAATCTACGGCTGCCGGCAACCCATTGTTGTCTTGACAAATGAACCGAAGAAAGTCCAAGATTTTTGACTCAAGCGAGACGGGTCACAGGGGGTCATTAACGTGAGATAATGCTATTTCTCCAACTCCTGATAAGCTACCCCGCATTTTGGAGAGGACATATGGAAATACTCTACTTCGATCGACATTTATGTGGTGTAAATTAATAGATTAAAATTGATGAGAAAAGGGGCAGTAAATCTCAGGAGGTGATTCTCATTTGCTACAATTTGCGAGTTCTAATAAATTTTCCGCAGAGAATTGAAGTTATTACTTCAAAGACCTAGGTCAACTACTAGATGATTCGACCTTCATGGGAATCAGATATATGTCTACTATTTTACAGGCACATTTTTTTGACCACCAGGGGTCAATCCAGCGTGCTAGAATTGTGGACGGTTAATGTCATACCGGCGTACTTCGAGACTGATGAAGAGTCCGAAGGTCATCTGGCATTCCGTGTTTGTTCGGGAGACCAATCATGATTGATAATCGTTTATAGCTCGGCAGTATACTTCGAGATCATGAAGAACAGAATAACGAGACCGTTCCAGCGATTATTCTTTGGTTTCTTGGCACCTTGAAAGTCTGGGGAATGTACACTCTGAGGTAAACCCCCCAGCATGAACTGTATTTTACGAGGAGAATTGGGCAACATTCGTACACTGGCCAAGTAAGTTTCGATTCAACGGATGAAAGATTCTTCTCACGTATGTATCGATTGGCCACAAGCCCACAAAGAATTGACAATGGCGGTCAAAGGCCTCCAAGAGAAACAACAACAATGATCTGAAAATAGGCGAGAAGTAGAGGGAAATGCATGGGTTTCTGGAAAACACCATCTTTGAAAGAATTACCCGCAGCGCAACTCAGCAAAACATAAACACCGGGCTTTACGGCGCTTTTCCGCTGACGTGATTTCCTTCGATTTTCAGGTAAGGGAACATTTGGGATTGAAATACCTTGAAGGCTCCTTCTTGAAGATCTCAAGTCGTTGAAAATTCCCCGAATTGCTCTGTGATTGGTGAGAGCCGAGTATTTCCCCGCATGACATATCAGTAGCCTATACCTGGTAAACATGTTTATGCCTTACCACAACGATACATTCTTGACAACGTCCCTCTGAATCCCAACGTTGTACTGGGTATTTGGTTATACGAAAAGCTTGTAGACTTACTGAGACCAATTATTAATTAACGCGGTGCACGTTCAACATCAAAGACGACTGCAGTTTGAAAAAAGAAAAAGTGGAATGGGACTTTTTCCACCAAGCAAATGCGATTGAACCGCGTTGAAGTATGTTTATTTAGGCATTTAAGGTCGATTCACGTGGGAGTTACCCACAACCCTTAAGCTTATTCCATCCCCCTTGAAGTGACTTTCCTGATGTGGAGACCCGATCCGAGATCACGCACTTATTTAGACGAAAATGTAACTGAATGAGGTTAGACTGGTCCGGGTCCCTCTCAAGTTCCCCTCTTTTTTACCGAAGTTCTATCGACAGTCCAAGAAAGTTGAAGAAACGAGCGAAACACTGCCAACTCACCATTGGGTGCGCGACCGCAAATATTCATCACATTCATTTTAAGCTTTCCATGGGAGGCTGCGCCCGTCGAATAACCGTGGCTTAGTGCACATCGTGTGCTTAACGCACGCGGGTATAAATGGGTCTTCGTAAGGGGCAAGCCCCCAATGCATTCTCCTGTTACGATGCATTCTCCCGTTACGGCCTTGTGTCCTAATTTTGGAGGGGGCCAGGATGGGGTTGGATCCTGGATGTACGACCCACAAATTGAGAATGTGGTAAAGACCTCGAGATCGTGGCTTTTGGCCCACCAACTACACAAATTGGCTGCGGGGCAGACATACTGGCATCTGGAATAGTTCAGTATAAAGTACTGTGCTCCCCCATCTAATTTCAAGATCATCCAACCTTCGTCGGCATCTTCAATCTTCACAATGGCTATTCTCTCAAGATTTCTTCAACTTTCTGTCGGTCTGATGGCTTCCACCACAGTTATCGCGGCACCTGTTGAGCCAAGGGCAGTCATTGGGCACGACAAGTAGGTTTAATTTCCTCTATTCATGTAGTTCATCCAAGATCTTGCTAACATATCATCCCCAGGGTTGCATCATTTGCAGAGACTGTTCCTGGTGGCACTCAAGGGCAAGTTTACAAGGCCTATCAACCAATGCTAAAGGTGAACAATGGATGTGTTCCATTCCCAGCTGTGAGCGCCAACGGCGACACAAGGTATGTCTTTTTTCGCCGTTCAAAGTTTCGAATCAAATTCTAATACAATGTAGTGGCGGTCTTCAAACTTCTGGTTCAAGCAACGGGAAGTGTGGCAGTTCCACTGGACAGGTTTATGTCCGAAGTGGTGAATCCAATGGCAGAACTGCTCTGATGTATTCTTGGTAAGTCAAAGTTCTTAAACCAACAGTAGTTGATGTACTGATTCCCACCAGGTACTTCCCCAAAGACTCACCAGCAAGTGGGCTCGGGCATCGTCATGATTGGGAGGCAATCATCGTTTGGCTTCAAAGTGGCACAGCAACCAACAGGGAGAATATTCTCGCTGTGTGCCCATCAGCACACGGGGGATTCGAGTGTTCCAAGTCCCCCAACCTTGACGGAGTCACTCCTTTGATCAAGTACGAAAGTATTTTCCCTATCAACCACGCCCTCGGATTCACCAACATCAAAGGAGGAAAACAACCAATGATTGCGTGGGAGTCTCTTCCTGACCCTGCCAGAACTGCACTCATAAATACCGACTTCAAAGACGCCAATGTTCCATTCAAAGACGCAAACTTCAACAACAACCTTGGAAAGGCAACCTTCTAATGACATTTACGATCCCCGCGCGTTTTGTTTTTGAGTTACAATGATACCTGATCCAGCGGTTCTAGAGGAACAAACAGCTGCTGGAAGCATTGACCAGATTGAGTCGGCTACCTAGTGTAGCTATATATAAATATTTTAATACAACACCACATTCATGACTTCATCAACTGTTCGTTTGACGAGTGTCCGGTATTCCTCTAGCATTTCCCGCTTAGCCACCTTATCAAGAACTCCCGTGAAACTATACCTGGACTTTTGTCATGGTTCTTGTGGAAGTACTTCGTCCCAGGCGAAATAATTGAAGGTTTGCTAGGGTGGCTGAGGTTGGCAACAGGGTAAAAGCCCCTGGAAAACCTACAGTTATTTCGCCTGGGACGAAGTATATTTTTTCGCTGTTTCGAGGCTGTGTGACTGAAGTAATACTCACAGGAATATGAAACTGCGTTGAGACTCGGCAAAATTATTTTTAACATCTGCTCCCGTAAACACGTCGGTGATCAACCAATCATGTCAACTTCACGTGATATGTCAGGAGTGCTTGGCTGTTGCTTGTGCAACTTGATACCATGATCCTAGGTTAATGAAAAGGCCAGTTTAGGAAGAGTGGAAAACCAAGATGCGGGCAGGTACACGGGTTCAGTGGTCCTCAATATTGAAAGGAATCCTGGGATGAATTGGATCCCTTTGGAAATTATGAAGTCCGTTGAAAGCTTTCGCTCGGTGACCTGAAATAATGGGTCCGTTTCAATAGTCGGGGATATACTGTAAGAGTAAATGAGTTTTGTTTCCTAGGGTTTTCTCGGCAGAGACAAGCTCGGCCCAATTCTAGGATGATACTTGAAGAACTCTTGGTGAGATAAGACTTGGGTTCCCGCTATGCTTACTGGTAAGTTGATAACTCATATCACCAAAATGGAGTTGAGAAATAAGTTGCAAATTGATAACTTTTTGCTCGACGGTATCAATTAATATATCTATTCAGGATTTCCTTGTTTTTTCTGTTGGGATGTTGGATCTCGGATAATCAGCATCCACAATCATAGCCACCATTAAAGCCACAATCACACCCTGTGGATATGACCGAGAGGAATACTGAATGATTCCTTGGAAGAACCAACTCTTGGGTAACATCACTTTGACCTGGCCCAAGTTCGTGCCTCGTATTTATCATTCTGTTCTCCGCAGCTTATTCTCCTCGGATCTACCTTCTTAAGACATTGAGGAGGGTTTGCTTTGTGGTTTATCTCAAGATCTCGATCCTTTTTGGCCGAACCATCCTGAGTATTCTCTTGGCAATACGGCCCTTACTATTTTACGAACAATTCTGTCTTAATAAAAGTGCGCATTCAGTACAACACATCAAGTAGCTTAGGTGCCATAATCGGTCATGGGATTTAAGTCAGGGGATCATGGGAAAGTGAATTCGATGCTCTCCTCTCTTTGCTGTTCCACTTTTGATCCACCTGCATCTGCCTCGTTATAAAGTATAAAGTTTATACTTCGTAGAAAAAATCAACTTTCGGAGAAATGAAGTTGATTTTGAAATGTGATTTTTGCTACCATTGTACTAATGGTGTCCCGAAGGACGTCCAGGATTTGCTTAATAGTACATATAACCACTCCCCTGTTCCAATGTTCAGACTCCCACTTTCGGAGCCACAAGGAATTAAAAAAGGGACGAAGCGAGACTCTGACCGTCTTTACTTTACTGGGTCTACCCAGGTCCAATTCCAGAGAGCTTAACACTTAGTAAATGTTGATGGGTAGGGGAGATGCTAAAAGTGCCGGAGTAAAAAGAGTTAAATTTGAAAAGCTTAACAATATAAATATATGTGGCAGGAGCTAAGGTCTTGTACCCTAGCTCGGTTCCTCTTCTGGGATAATATAGAACATACTAGCAATCGATACTCAGCTTCCATGCGTCGGAAAGTCTCAGGAGATCCAGGCACACCCTCCTAACAACAATAGAAATAGTATATCTTGTTCTTCTGTAGGCGGCTTCATACACTCAACAATCAGAATTTGGAGTCTCATACCTTCAGAGGACCCCTCTATAGAACGACCGATTCTATTTAAAATTTAAAACGAGGTCTAGAAATATTCCATTCCATTCCTATTACTGTACAATATCGAACAAGGATCTACTCGGGGGCAGTTTTCCTAAAGATATAACCGAGTTTATCCTTATAGCGAGGACCTTAGCATAGGCGACAATAAGGTCGTACATTTAAGTGCTACGAATATATAGTATAGCACCTAGTATTATTAGTAGTTTACGTACTACTCCTGAATTCCTGTTACTTAAGATCTATTTTATACCTAATTCATATAGATTTTACTTAGAATCTAATGGGATTACTTATATAAATACTAGAATTCGGGACCTAAACATCTAAGGGTTATTCTTACATCGAGGTTATCCTTAAATCCCTACCCGAAAAAATCGCGACCTAGGATTTAAAGGTAGAATCAAGGATATTCTCATATCGAGGATCATTCTATCGAGGGTTTTCTGTATTCCATAGAGACACTAAGGCAGCAAACCAGAGAACCTATAAAACATCTTCCGACCATAGGACTTTAGGACCAATAGAAAACTAATACAACCAATAAACTATGACAGTAGAGCGTGTAAGATTATATAAGTGGAAAATAGATTAAGGCTATAATAAAAGACCGTATCAGAAACGAAAAGATAGGGTAACTTTATTACCTATCATTAATTTCCGCTTTACTTTCTCTTAAATCCTGCTTTCTTGCTAGTTGAAAAGTACAGGGGGTTACATCCTATGGAATTCTATGCAACATGGGTGTCCACGGCCTACTTCATAGAATGTTCCTTTCTATTAAAAAGGAGCTCTGGAAGGATTCCAGGGAGAATGGAATTCCAAAATTTGATGGAATTGAGTTTCTTTTGATGATCGTTGCATATGCACCCTCATCTGTATATCACCTCAATGGCATTATACTCGCACGAGAATTTGAGAAGGGGATTATAGATTCTTGTGAAATCACTTCAACTGTATGATAAGATTTGATCAACTTCTAGCGTTTCTTTCACCTGTCAAATACCAACATATATTTCATATACAAAGACGATACCGTCCACGCATCAACCATGGAAAATAGCATGCAATGATGCAATATTTCCAGGAAATCAATACCATGGAATTCATCCCGTCTATCTAGCTACGCTAAACAACCTGTTTCCGAGGCGGCGCCCGACAGAAAAATATCACGCTATCATGAGTGAATACAGTACTTTCGTCTCAAAATCTCTCCAAATCAAAGAAGTTGCCCGAATGATGTCCAGTCCTCAAAGCAAGACACCATCATCACTCTCATGCCCACCCACCTTCCGCATCTCCGCCTCCAGATCTCTCGATCTCTCCTCATCATCCTTATCCAACTTCTCGTCTTCCTTCACCTTAACAATCATCTACGTCTCCTCCACAGATTGATCAGTTGAAGGCGGCGTAGCAATCGCATCCGAAGTATACTCGCCCTCCTCAGCAGCAGACTTATCGAAACTACTTTCCTGGAAGAACGTCTCCACGAGCAGAGACATATGAGCGTGGTCCTTCTCCTTCTTGACGATAGCCTCTTTCAATTCCTTATTCGCCTTTTCGAGTCTCTTGATCTTTTCTTTGAGGAGCGAGTTCTGGGTCTCTAATACGTGGATTCGTTCTCGACGACTGTGACGGCTGGGACGACCAGGAGCCTCGCTTGGGAATGAGGGTCGCCATTGTCGCAAGACACAATCGTACGCTTCCATCTTGATTTCCGGTTCCTTTTCAGTAGTGTCGTTGAGGTTCCCGATGACCTGCTTTGCACATTCCGCTAAGTTGGTGAAGGGGTTTATCTCAGACTCCTTTCCCTTCTCAAGATCGTTTTTAAGTTTCATCTTGAGCTGATCCAGGCGCTTTGAAAGACTTGCAAGGTGCTGAGCAGAGGAAGATAATGGGTTTCCAGGACGGCTCTTGTTCGCGTATCGGTTGGTATCGCCCTCGAATTGCACGGGCTCGTTTTGTGGTTGAATGATATCGCCGGGGGGAACATTAATAAGATCGATGATTACACGATAGATGTACGAGATCGCTATGGAAACTAGGTCATTTCATTGAACATACAGTCATAAGAAACGGGTACCTACCAAAAGAAGCCCAAATGAACAGGTACGAGAGAGGCACTTGAGGGTTCGTCAAGCAAGGTGCACCAAGAGCACAAAGACCAAAGGCAAAGACTGAAATACCAAGAGCAGGAACTGAGATGGTCATTAATCTTGCAGGACGTAAAGTCCTTACGCCGTTGGGATCCTCTTTCGAGTTCTTGCGCGAGGATCTCAAATCTGAGGTCGCCGTGAGATTAGTTATACCGATGCGAGGAAATTGATTCCATCCCACAGAGCAGAAGAGCTCGTATGGTAACTCCAAGATAGAACATCCGAGGAAGAAAGTACCAAATGCAACTGTAATCCAAAATCATAGTCAGTACTTGTCATCAGTCATCGTCTTTGAGGTGACGTTATCAACTTACCAAACAACTTGGTCAAGACGATATTTTCTGGCTCTGAAAAGAAGATAAACAGAGAAGATAAGAGCTCCTTCAAGGGACCGAATCTATGTTCTCGCTCACACTCCAACATAAACAGGAAAACCATGAGGACAAGTCCAAGAATACAAACAAGAAGGCCTCCCATGATGACCTCAACTAGGAGCGGGACTTCTTCATTTGTGTGTAGAATAACTTTGGCAGGCTTCTTTGGTCGTCGTCTGTTTTTCTTGACGTTGTGGTTGAGTGGTGGTGGCATGATGAATAAGTGGAGGTGTTGAATAATTCTGGGTAATGCGGTGTTTAGGGTTGGGTGGCCTTGGATAATGTATAGCTGGGTATATGTAAGGAAATGGAGGCCATAACACAAGCTATGGGGTAATCTAATTCACTATTGGGGTGTTGCCATCAAGTGGCATCAGTACCAAGCCGATGTTTACAAACTCAAGTCACCATCCTTAAGACTGTTTTGAAAGCCACATCCTCAGTAATAGGCAGTACTGCAGAGGCTTCTGTAACATATTCACTTTTGTTAAGTAGGTTTCTAAGCTAGCTTTCTTGGGAAGGCACACTCAATTCAGCCACCCCCATACACAGCACCCTCAAAGTTAAACACTGAAATAACACATCCAGTCCTCGACCGCAGTTCTCTCACTAACAAAAGGTTCAAATGGCCCCGTTGGAATTGAGACAGGTGAGGATGAACTGTTGGCCGCAAGAGTCAATATTAGACAGTTTCTCGGTATCTTGTAGTCAGCTGGGTGATTCCAGATGCTAGGATATTTCTTTTGCTAGTTTTTGGAGTGGAAGGAAGAGGGATTGTGATTTATTGGATCTTTCTACCTTTTAGGTGGAGCTTGGAGGACTTGAACTTTGGGAATCAGACATGACCACGAGTAATGATAGTGATTGTTGACTTGCCACTGCGACCAGTAGGGCATCTCCGAAGCAGCTATATTCTTTGTAGAGACAACTTGGAACTCGAACACTCTCCGACACTATTCACAGTAAGAGTGACACAAGACCACACCATACCACCCAACAACCACAAACTACCATCATGTCCCAAATACCAAGTCTCCCTCCAGCTACCCACGAATCTCCAACCCTAAGTAAGTCCCCCTCCTCCCCCTCCTCCCCCTCTCCCATTTACAACTCTAACCCACAAAGCCAACTCGCTCAAAGAGCCCGTCAACCTCGCCACTCTCCCCGCAGAAGTCCTCCGAATGGTCTACTCACACCTAAACCCCGCTCACGCCTGCCTCCTCTCCCTGACATGCCCTCGCCTCCGTAGCATCTCCAAACTACAACCCGCCATCGCCCGCAAAGAAACCGCCCGGCTCGAGCGCAGATTCCACCAGAATCGCGCGCAAGTCCTCGGCCTGTCCAATGAAAACTCAAGTATCTTGCACTGCCCGCGTTACCAGACAACAAGTATCCTCCACTGCGTGCGTTGCCAGAGAATAATTTCGAATGAAGGAGATTGGATCGAAGCCCTACATTCGATTTGGGCGTAGCCTTTCGGGGGATTACGAAATTGCTAAGTGAGGTCGTCTGTAGGATGGGATGATGTGGGATCGAGACTTCAGTATGCCTGTTGAACCCGCAACGTTGGACTATTGGTGGGACGTCCGATATATTCTGCGACGGTGTAAGGAGGAATGACTTCGTGCAAGAAATACTGCGGGAATCGGGCTTCCCCCTTTACAGACGAGCTTTGATGAGAAGGGGGTTTTGCTGTGTTTGGGGTTTCTTGACTGGATGATGATGAATGAATTGACCTAGAGGAGATTGAGTAGTCATCATGGAACGAGAAGGAGGGGTTGGATGAGATACCTCAAATCTGACCAAACTCTGATACACCAAAACGAATTTGTTATTGCGTAACCTTTTCTAATTCCTCGAAGACATATCTGAAAACCCCGTGGACTTAGTAGGAAATGCTCTGCAGTAACCATACGAGACCACCAAAGTTACCTACCTAGATATCCCACAGGGAGGCACTCTGGAAACCCGGATTTGCTGACCATAAACTCGTAACTCACCGTACCCTCAAGAAAAAGCTGGACACTACGAAATCAAAGCTTGAAGGCGCTTCTATTGGGAGAAAAGATATTAATCATAACTACCCTAATCCGGAATCGAAATTCCCAAGTCTCAACGCGATGAACCGGCTTCCTTCCAAATATCTACCAATATTCCTCCTAAACCGTATATCGGATCGGAATCGGGTATCGGTACTGCTCTGGCATTTTTTGTCTTTTCCAGTGTTTCCTCCGTGTCGGCTTTGCAGAAGTTGTTATCGTAGTGTGGACTTCCCTGGATGAGAGTCAGTCTCGCTACACTAACGTGGTGTTATGATATGCAACCTCTCTCCACATCCGCGAGATGTTTCGCATAATGCTTGGTAGCATATGTGGGGCAAATAAAGACTGAGTCTTACCTTCGGGTACAATCCAACGTATCCGTAATCCTCACTACTTTTGATATTGCAATGCGCCACGCCGGCGGGTATAACAATGACATCTCTCGCCCTCAATTCAACTAATGTATCATCCGCGGATTCTGGATCCAATGGCCCTCGACCAAGAAGTAGTTGACTATGCCCTTTGAAGATGGCATAGCATTCGTTGGTCACAGAGTGAAAATGATGGGCCGGGTAATGGCTGAAGACGCCTCCATTGAGCCAATTATTGGGTACGATGGTTTCACAAGTAGATTTGACATCGGGGTTGGGAGGAAGAGCCGATCGGTATATAAGGACAGGAAATGGCGAATTTGGGACATAAGGAGTGGACTTTTTGATGAGATATCGTTCCGGGGGAGAGACTGCTGGAGGCATTGTGATGCTATACATGTACGAATGATGGTTGAGGGGAAATTTCCTGCCGTCGTTTCATATCTTCCTAGGAACGCACAGTCAAGAGGATGATATGTGGCATTGGCGGGGTAAGGCTGTGATACCCATTCGCCATGCCATCCTTGCAAAGCATGATCAACTGGAAGTGTAGAGTTACAAGTCCAATTCCTGTGTCAATTTCCACCGTCGTAAACTCCAACTGGCTCTGGTCTTGAAGAGAAGAGGATATTGTACTTGACAATCTCCACAATCTCAAGGGCCTCGGTCTTTGGCGTATCTCCTTCAACGTCCATTGTTTGCTGTAATGAGAGTGGTGTTTTCTTTCTGATGACCGCAATTGCTTTTGGTAACTTCTTGACCTCTCCTGTGAGTCTTTGGTGTTTTCCAACGTACATGTAGACTCGTTTCATCCAGGCGGTGCTTTTGTCTTGGGCATCATAGTCTGGGAAGACCAAACGTCCAATTCTTGTCTGGTTGGGTCCATTGGATTCTTCTTCTGGTTCGCTATGATCTGGGAGGTTGATGGTTCCTTGAAGCTCCAACAAAGCAAGGCCTGACGGTAGTTGGAGTAGTTGTGGTAGAGGATTCTGAGGGGTGCTGGTGCTGCAGCTGGCCCCAGTGGGCTCTCTTCTGGATAACGTGACTTCCATTTTAGTTTAGCCTCATCTGGCGGTGCGCACAATCTTTATTGAGAATCTCCTCTGGATCTCTTACTCTTTTTTGTGATCAAGAACAACATCAACAGACGTAAGTTGACCTTTCCTTTCCTTTCTTTTCCAAGCACCATCGCAAGGTTCCTTCTCACCTACTGGATACCGGATATACCTTTCGCCGCTGCACGCTGTACCTAGCGCCCGTCGGCTTTACTCTGGATATATTCCTCCCCATCGCGCGCACTTGCGGTCGCACCTCAATCACACTGCAGTTCAGTCCATGGAACCCTGAAACCTCCACTCAGAAGTTCTTAGCTAATCAATCATGTGACTTTAGATGTTACCGCTGATTAATATCTTAGAAATCACCATCCCATTTCTCGCTGGAATCGTCCTCGCTGGTCTCCTCTTCTCTGTGGAGGGGGGGTGCGCTGCTGTTCGTTCCTTTCTTCGCGCCTGCGGTGGTACGTCTTATTTCTTTAGATGAGGTTTGCTTTGGTGGCTGGTCACATGACTCGTTGCGAAGCCGTGACTACAGTCACTGTTGGCTGTTGTCAATCTATATTTCTATTTTTATATTGTTTCTCTTTCCTAAATAAAACAACTTTTTCTTTCATTCTTACGCGAAGCAATTCTTTTTCTCTTTTTCTTACTCTGATTATCTTACTGTCGTTTTGAAAACAGATCACGTGGTATTTTGAAGACCACTTCTGAAAGTTATACTCTCTGAGGAGTACTTTACCAGTCTATGCTTATATATTTATCCTTCTTGTTCCTTCTACGAAATGTGGTTTCTTATCTTTCTTACGCGAAACAATCTTTGTTCTTGTGTTCTTGTGTTTCTTGTTCTGCTGGCGTTTCAAGATTGATATCTGTGGTATCTCCAACATCACTTCTGGTAGTTGCGATGTCTGAGAAATACTTTACCAGTTAATTCTTATTAGTATGTCTTTCTTTATCTGTTCTACCAAATGGGGTTTCTCAGTTTTACTTACGCAAGACAATCTCTTTTCTTGTGTTCTTGTGTTTCTTGTTCTGCTGTCGTTTCAAGGTTGATATCTGTGGTATCTTCAGCATCACCTCTAGTAGTTGCGGTGTCTGAGGAGTACTTTACTAGTCAATTCTTGTTGATACGATTTCTTTGGTTTAGCTACAGAAAAGTGGTTTCTCGGCTTTACTTACGCGACTCTTTCCATTTCACATTCTCTTTTGATATCCCTTTTATTATTAACTCTGCATCTGGTTTTGAAAAATATCTCAGATAAGTCTACGGGTACTATACTCGCAAGGGCAATTCTTACTGGTCTATGCGTATTTCTTTATCTTTTTCATCTACATCAAGAACCAGAAACTCCAGCTTTGCTTACGGCAAAAGGTGCCTCTGAAAATCTTTCGTCATCAATTTTGTCGTCATTTCAAAATCCATTTCCCAAAGGTGTGGGTTCATGAGATGGCGGGATATCGTTCTTGCTGGGGAAAACATTACTTGTCTATGCAGAGCCTGCGACCTTTTCTGATTTGGCAGAAAAGCAGACACTTGTCAAATTTCCTTGCGGTGAAAATCAACATTTCATGTTTGTTTTTCATTTACTTTGCTTCATCTGTCCTCTGCTACGCAAGTTTCCAATGTCTTCTGCTATCACAGGGTGATGGGATTCACTAGACAGTATGCATACCAACTGAAGATTACATCTACTAATCTATAGCTAATTTCTTCGTCCTTTCTCAATATATTCTCAAAACCTTCCATTTTTACTCCAATTTACGGTATACAATTTTTTTTTTCATCTCCCTCAACCCTTTCCTACCTACCTATTTTTGCTGGATGCCATTGTCATAGCATCCGGGGCTGGGAACATGATGCCAAGACTGGCCCTTGCCTGAAGGCTGAGACCCTGACCCCGACCCCGGCAACTTTTCCATTTATCGCCTATCTTTTTAGCGTCCGCGCACGTGCCCGCACAAATCACGAATTTTTACTGACCCAGAAAATAGCATACGCACCAGCCATTCCACCTCAACAACCACCAACCGTCCTCCCCCTTACTAACGTACAGCCTCAGCAAAATGAAGCTTGTAAGTCACCTCCAATCTGCGTATATCATCTGATGATGCTAACCAATTTCTTGATAGAACATCTCATTCGTAAGTACTCGATTGCGACGATCGCGAACCCCCGAAAATTCGAACTGACCATATCATACAGCCCGCCAATGGCTCCCAAAAGCTCATCGAGATCGAAGATGAGAAGAAGCTCAGAGTATTTATGGACAAGCGGTACGATTGCGACAATTCCGGTGCGAATACAAGAAACACGAAGCTGATATATTGATGACAGTATGGGTGCCGAAGTTCCTGGCGATAGCGTTGGAGACGAATTCAAGGGTTACATCTTCAAGATCACTGGAGGCAACGACAAGCAAGGTTTCCCTATGAAGCAAGGAGTCATGCACCCAACTCGTGTCCGCCTTCTCCTCTCCGATGGACATTCCTGCTACCGACCCCGCCGAACTGGTGAGCGCAAGCGTAAATCCGTCCGTGGCTGCATCGTTGCTATGGATCTCTCCGTTCTCGCTCTCAGCATCGTCAAGCAAGGTGACGCCGAGCTCCCAGGCCTTACCGATGTCGTCCACCCAAAGCGTCTTGGTCCCAAGCGCGCAACCAAGATTCGCAAGTTTTTTGGTCTCACCAAGGATGACGATGTACGTAACCCGTATATCCTTATCGCCTGCCAGGCTCCTTCACTGGAGTTCTGCGCGGAGTGTGAGCGGAACCCGAGTGCTGATACTATTGGTGTTATTCTAGGTCCGAAAGTTTGTTATCCGTCGTGAAGTTCAGCCAAAGGGCGAGGGCAAGAAGCCATACACCAAGGCACCAAAGATCCAACGTCTCATCACCCCACAACGTCTTCAACACAAGCGTCACCGTATCGCATTGAAGCGCCGCAACTCTGAGAAGACCAAGGATGCTGCTGTAAGTTTATACGCCTATGCCAATGCCGCAAATCAATGCTAATATTCCTCTCCAGAACGAGTACACTGCTCTCCTTGCCAAGCGTGTCGCCGAGTCCAAGGCTCAAAAGGCTGATGCCCGAAAGCGTCGTGCTTCTTCTATGCGCAAGTAGACTTCGGTTTTTTTGACATCGCCTTTCAGGTGTACATGGGTTTTGCTTTGGTGTGAAAAAATGATACACACATTGGGATACTGAGACAGACTTCTTTTGCACATCCTCATTAACGTAGGGCACAACATGGGCATAGAATTTTCTGATTTCCTGGAAGTTTCCTGATGAAATGGATGAATGGTCTTTTTAACGGCAATGGATGGGGTACTTGTACTCAGCTAGGCGTTTTACAAAAATGATCATTTGACATTGCAGCATTGTTGCTGACTTTTCTAATACGTAAAAACAAGTTTTTACTTTGCTTCTTGATTGACTTGACCTTTGGTGTTTCCTGCAATTGACTTTTCCAGCCTGGTTTTTGGGGAGCTGATTTCCGGCAGCAATTACATGAAGCTTGCCCTGCGCGTATCCCCATTCCATCTTATTCCCTCTCTCCAAACTTCTGCATATCTCAATTCCCACTGCAGCACCCAACTGATTTTGATGCCATCACCTTGAGATGAGCCCTCAACTCTCCCGTCTCACTAAGAAACCAGAGTTCCCATGACAGTAAGATTACCCAATAAACTAGGAGCAATCCTACTCTCAATCTCAATCCCAATCTTAATTTTAATTTTAATTTCCTATATCGATGATCAATGACAGTGACGGACAGACGGATAGCACGATATTCACGGCTTCGGTGTTACGGTTTCATGGTGTTGCGGTTACGGTGGTACGGTTCTTCTTAACCCGACCCTCGACTCGACTCTCGAGAGAAGTTCTGGGAGGGTGGGGAGTTTTGGAATGAGAGGTGATGGTAGGATGGTATTCCATATGAGATTATGAGTGAGATTAACTCCGCAGGATCTAGGAGTTGTCTTGCTCCCTCTCCCTCTCTCTCTTACTCTTAACCTCAATCTCAATCTAATTTCCCATCAATGATCAAGGTCAATCTGGGCAGAGAAGATAGTATGATATTCACGTTTTTCACGGCTTTGCCGTACAGTGCTAAGTTAATTCTTGACCCGAGGAAGGGGTTGGAAGGTGTCTGATGGTAGAGAGGTAATGTATATTAGATCAATGGGACATATGTGTAAGAGACTTATATGGTGTTTTGGTTTGTTTTGGGTTGCTTTGCTTTGCTCTCGGCCCCCAAGCTTTCAGGTAAAGAGGTTGACGGCTACGTACCTATCTGGACGTTACCTAGGTACATGGGATTAGCAGGTTGGTATATATATGATTTTATATGTTCAAATTGAGCTAGTGGTTGGTGAGAAGGTGGAAGGAAGGAGAGTTGAATGGGAGGGACATTGATGTAGTAGAGTAAGATTTACGTACGTACGTAGTTCCTCTCACTCTCCTCTATGTATATACTTAAACCAGGGCCCAGGACTCGGGTTTAGGATTAAGGGCTCAGTAGAGGACTCAGGAGGATGGATAGAACAGTCTGAACAGCTAGATACCATAATCTCTCATCCATACCCTTACTAATCCACACACCATCTCCACCACACATCAGTCTCCCCTCCCAGGACAGTCTAAAAAGCTGCAATCTCCTTTCACAACCCAAAAAGTCACAAGACCAAAAATCGAAGAACAAGATAAGTTTTGACATACCGTATTTATTAGAATATAAGATAACATTCTACAAATAAAAAGTTCGTCCAGAGGCTAAATCGAACCTTATTTTATTAGAAAAGTAGTATATTATAAAAAGATTTGCCCCATTTTTTCGGGTGGTTAGGTTAACCAACCCCCTTATCCATGTGTTTTACCCCCAACCACGTCTAACCTGTTTAATTATTAAACCCATTCCACGTCTGAGACTAAGTGTATTTTTATATTGAGATAGGACAAGGAATGGGACTCAAAATCATTCCAAGTGTGGTTATAGGTAGCAAGTTATAAATTAAGCGAGTGATTATATCTACATCGGCCCTCTATATAAAGTCTACTTTCTTAGCTACCAGAGCTTAGAAGACATATTTAATATTAACAACGACGAGGACTATATGGACATAGATATAGATAGATAAAGTATAGGATAGTAGGGTAAGTATACAGGGTAATATAAGAATAGCCCTACTTTTCACAAAATTTATAAACAAGTTTTTTATATACCGATTTTAGAACCAAGTTTTGACAGTATAATCCTTTAATCCTGAGCGATTTTAGAGCATGTGGTGATGGTGGAATAAGTACTCGAAAACTAATATAAAATAAAGAGATTTGTATCCTAGCTTTCTAATTGGCTAGACTTATAAGATATTAATATTTTGAAAAATTTGAACCTTCTTTTATATAACCATTTATCTTATTCACGGATGTTATCTTATATTCCAATTAATACGGTAGGTAGTTTCTTCATATCTCCATTGTAAAATACTCTGTTACTGTACTGTACTGTACTGTGCGGTACTGCTAAAAAGTCTAAGAACTCCATGCTACAACAGTAAATAAAAAAGAAACTTTTTTCCACCCTATTGATCTAACAATTCCCATCCATTGATAAGAGGAGAGAACCATGAAAGGCTCTCTTTTTCCTGCACCCATTCGTCAAGAAAAAGAGAAGAAACTTCATACTGCCTCAATGTGGGATACCCAGATGGCCTTTCTTTCAAGAAAGAAAGGAAAGAGACACAAACAATAAAAAAACAAACCAGATTATACTCCAAACACCAGAATCATTTATGTACGATACGAGTATCCTACCCTCGTCCCCCCACACCACCACACTCTCAAGCATCCCATACCGTGCAAGAATCCCCACCAGCCCAAAATCACCAAGTCCTCAAAAATACCGCAGGAAAGTTAATCACTAGGCGCATGCGTAAATAAAAAGCTCACACTCTCCCCATTATGCGTACGTCTGATCGCCTCCCCAAGCGTGGGACTAATATCCATAACACGCAACTTATCACATCGCTCAATCTTATCACCGAGCGGGACGGTATTCGTGACGACGACTCGGCTGAGCATACTCTTATTGATCGTCTCGATCGCGTTTCCGGACAGAATGCCATGCGTGACGATTGCGACGACCTCACGGGCTTTGTGCATCATTACTGTTTCCGCGGCTTTGGCGAGGGTTCCGCAGGTGTCTGCCATGTCGTCGACAAGAATGGCGATTTTGTCCTCGACATCGCCGACTAGGACCATGCGGGAGACTTCGTTGGGGCGCGCGCGCTCTTTGTGGATTAGGGCGAAGCCTAGGTCGAGACGGTCTGCTATGGATGTTGCTCTGTTATGGTGTTAGAAACTGCTTCTCTCTTTTTCTTGACTCCCTGCTTTGGAAAGAAGTGGTAAGTTTAAGAGGAAAATGACATACCTCTTAGCACCACCAGCATCTGGAGATACTACCACACAATCTCTCACATTCAGATTCTCCCGGATCCATCTCAGCGTACTAGGTTCCGCATACAGGTTGTCCACAGGTACGTTGAAGAACCCTTGGATCTGACTAGCATGCAAATCCATCGTAATGACATGGTTACAACCAGCCGTCTGCAGCATATTCGCAATAAGCTTCGCGCTGATCGGTGCTCTTGACTTATCCTTCTTGTCTTGTCGTGCATAAGGAAAATTGGGAATGACGGCGGTAATGCGACGAGCGGAGGCAGTCTTGCAGGCGTTGATCATAATGAGGAGCTCCATGAGACCATCGTTGATATCTCCTGGGGCGGTGGATTGGAGGATGAATACTGGATGTGAGATATATTAGTCTTGTTTGTACACTATTGCGCTTGGGGATTTATGGTGCATTCTACCATCTTCATCTCGCACACTTTCTCCGACTGTAACGCTGGTTTCCTGATTCGAGTAGTTCAAGCTCATCGTCTTCGCAAGATTGATTCCGAGTCTATGGCCAAGGATTAGTCTCTTTCCTTTCCTTTCAACCCAAGCCCCAACTCCAACCTGCAGAGAACACAACATACCGATCAGCAACCTGCTTCGCAAGCTGAGGGTGGCTGTTGCCTGTGAGCAACTTAATTGAGTTGGTCGCCATAATGCTTCTATTCCCTTATTCCTCTCTCTGTACTTGTTTTCGTCTTTTTCGTGGTGGGGGTAGTCAGCGAGTGTAGGGTTGCAGTCAAAGGCGATGATGGGTAGAGTTTCGTATATGCGCAGGAGATAAAGAGTGGCTAGACGTCCATGCTAGATGTGGTCGTTTGCTAGCAATTTGTTTTCTTGACGATGAAAGGAAGATTTTCGCAAAGCAAGCTAGAGACAGTCATGTTCTGATCATTGCAGTGATCCCTCCCACCAAAAGTTTAGTAGGGCAATTTTTCACGAGCTTGGTTTACCCGAGGATCTTCCGCTCCGCTTTTGGAATCAGATGTGATTGGTTGGTATTTACTTACCAAACTTCACTTGGCACTGGGGATATAAAGGGTCTGGTCAGCTTGTGTCTTACTCCCCCATGGCATACAGATTGTTGTAGGAAGGGTTCTACCCTCCAAAATATTCTTCTAAGTTAGATTGTCCATTTATGGGGAGCTATATCAGAAATTGACAAAGGGGGGGAAGGGGGTAGCGACCGAGCTATCCAGACCCTTTAAAAATTATACAATGTATATTTTGTACGAGTACGATAACTCAGATAAAAAACATATGTCAAAATAAGTTGCCAAGCCCAAACTCCCCTCAATTGGTGGAATCCAAAAACCCATCCCCCTAGCATCGCTAAACCCAAGGAACCCCTAGGTCACCCAGCGAAGCAGCCGAGAAGCGGGGTGACACCCAACCCTCCCTCAACACCAAACTCATAACCAACATATATGGTCCAACTACTCAATCCTCTCCTTTACCTCCAAACAATATTTTCTTCCAATATGACGCTTTCTACCTACAGCAAAGATCTATCCTCCTCCCTCTCCAAAGCCGGCCTAGGAATCGGCACAACCCCACTCCTTCCCGCGGACTTTACACCGAGCACCGAGTTGGTGATTAAGTATGGTGAGAAAACCGTAGAATTCGGGGACTTTTTGAGGACGGGTGAGACGTTGGAAATTCCTTCGGTGACTTTTGCTGCTGAGGTATGTATTCGAATTAGAAAAGTCCTAGTCGTGTTGAATTGCTGATTGCTGAACTAAACGAGGAAAGGCTTCAAAAACGGGGTCTACATACACCCTCATAATGGTAGATCCCGACGCACCTACGCCCGAAGACCCCAAATACGCGTATTGGAGACATTGGGTAGCCACCGGTCTCCAAGCATCTTCATCCTCGTCTGAAAATATAAAGTTCTCTCATACCCCTGTAACGAAGTACTTTGGTCCTGGGCCAAAAGATGAGACGTAATTCTGCCCTACCTATCCCCATCTCCTTATCAAATCACCTCAGATATTAACAAACGTAAAGAGCCACGCCTCATAGATATTTGTTCTTACTTTACCGGGAGCCGACTGGCTTTGAAGTAGGGAAGGAAGAGGTTGGGGGTGAGGAGTTCGTGGATAGGAGGGCGTTTAAGGCGGATGAGTTTGCGGGGAAATTTGGGTTGGAGTTGGTTAGTGTTAATTGGTTCTCGGGTGTTGGGAATGGGTGGAAGGCTTAGTGTGATGTGTTTTGGATTTATCGGGGTCAGGTGTGTTAGAATTGAGTTGGTGGAATGTGAACTGATAAAAGTGGCTCTTTTGGAGTGGGTGTATCTTGTGTATACAGGTTGTATTAAATGAATCATCTGAATGATAGAAGTTATCGTGGATGTATAACTAGTTGAATTGTGGCAAATTCGGAGAGCTATACATGCAATAATGACTGATCCATCCCTGATACTTGGGTATCTCTTTAAATCCAAACCTCCCAATCTAAAAGGCAGCCCGAGGAAACACTGCATCACCTGGGTTACCTTTTTTCGAGAGAACAAGTCAAACGGGCCCATTTCATGCCTTCACGTCTCCTTGTTTGTTGAGAGGAGAATGCTCTTTGGACGATTAATCTTAGGAGTATAAAATTGTAGGTACATAGCTAGGAACTTATGCACATCATCGGAATAAGGGGAATAATTATTCATAGCTATATGATCAAGTAGCATTTTTCTTTCGTGACCATCTCAACACTTAATTGCTCAAAAAGAGAACAGAGCCAAGTGATATATATATACTTTGCTCTGTCCCGCTAATGTAGCCAGAACAGGATTGAAGCTAGAATGGAGAACAGGATGTTTGTCTCCTCCAGAGCAAAAGCCCCCTCCTCCCCACCCATCTCTCCTAGACAATATAGTTACAACAGTTACCTGTGGTTGAAAGTGGATGCACTATAAGTGGACAAAAGTGTATACAATAATGGGTCAAATTGAGGTTCATATGCTTGGAAACGCGGCCTGGTTAGCCAAACGACCTTGTTTTGAGGGGAAAATGTAGTAAGAATGGACCCATTTGCTCTACTTTCAAGCACAGGTAATTGTTGTAACTATACTGTCTGGAAGGGATAGGCATGGTGTATTTATTCCATTGTTCGACCCAAAGACCTCATAGCTTTTTTGTTTGTAGAATCTGTTTAGATGGATGCTGGGGTGGGCTGTTGGAAAGAGATATACGTTAAATTGTTACGCCGCCATGATTTATATTTGGGTTTGGGGGTAGGAAAGTTGGTTAGTATCCGCTAATTCTAGATTTACTACTGGGGTTTGTATTTCAAGATAAGGAGTTTTTTCAATTTAGTTTTAGTAGACAAGAGCTGTAAAGTAGAAGTTTCTATTTTCCTCCCGCTGTCCATTTGCGAATGTCAACTTTGTGCTCTCTGGTGAGAGAATCACTACCGTCGCAAATGTGATGGGAATGGGTAATTAGATTTAGGCGTGTTGATTGGAAGGTGATTGTTGACGATATCTTGTACTAATGTGGTTGGAAGAATGAGTCAGTGATGTATGGTGTTTCCCACGACCTCTTTTGAATAATATTATTTCACATGGTTTATGTTGTACAGTAAACTCGGAAAGACTGACACTAAAATTCGAAAGTAAACACGCTAGCTATAAAATACTCGCTCGTTCAGTACAGTTTGATCTCTTCTTCCTTCAAATTCGTCAAGTCTGGCTCATAGTTCTCCCACAAAAGCTCGCCAAAGCCCAATCGCCGCTTCCGACGCTTTGACAGAGGAAGTAGAGTATAAGGCAAGTACCCTGGAACCTTTGTTGCTTTGATAGCTTCGTTGGTAGATATTTTCGCATAATTGGCGACATTCACAAAAGCCTGACCAATGAGTTTATATCCATCCAAGTGTTCCCTCAATATTGCAACGCAGCCGCTGAGTTGGAAAACATAGTCACCTGGCTTAGCTTCAACTGGTCCCAATCCTATGATTCCATCAGAAGCAGTGAAAAGCGGCATACAGTGTCTCTGAAAAGCCTGAAGTCTAACTTCCCAGTGGTAGTCAATGCCAGCGTTCTGTGAGAGGATACCGTTCATCGGAGTAACCGGTTCACTTATCAATGAAGCCCATTCCAATAGAGAGTGGCCTCCAATTTTTAAATCTTTTTGGTGGTCCAGCCAACGATAAGAGAACGCGTATTTTGCAAAGCTGCCTCGCTTTGTATATCTCTTAAACCTGATATTATCATCAGTAGCATCAGTATCATACGGGAGGTCAATCAATTCGAGTATTCTCTGTAAAATGTGATTTGCATATTGAGGTCGGCACGGCAAAAGACACTCTCCCACAAGGCCAATTCTCTTCCCAGAAAGTTGCAAACAAGTTTGTGTTGAAGTGGTAACGACAAGGTTTTTCATTAGTGCAGGATACATGGTGCAAATTGCAGAAGCTCCTTGTTCAGCAACTTCTATCCATTTTGGGGAAGTAGCTGTCCATGCAGACAGTTCCGCTGGAATGTTGAATCAATTGGGGAGCCATGATGGCCCTTCCTTTTGCTCCAAGTCACTCCAAAGAAATATGTGATGCAGCATTTCTTGGTAAATTCGAATGAGAGAGCTAGATATCTCGAGGTTGATTTCGAAATCGGACTTGACGTAGCTTGGCGTAGGAAGTATGTATTGTCCATCAGCCGTGATGCCAAGTATGCCCAACACTTTGTCTCTTAGCTCAGTAGATTTGGAGAGCCGGGTCGCGACCATAGCATCAAAGAAAGAAATCTTTTCTTTATCAGAGAACCGTTTAAGGTCTATAATCAACTTTACTCTGCGTTGATTGATATCTCCATTGTACGTGATAGTTTTGTGCACATCGTACCATTTCTGAAGCCCAATAGTGAGGTCTTCCCAAGAGATTCATTCGTTTCCACATACAATCCACACCTTGATACCCATAGTGATCTCTTGAATTATCCACACACGTTGCCAGTAATCGTCCTTTATGACCGACCATATAAGATGTATATCAAACATTAGGTCATTCCGTGCAAGGGCAATGATCTTTTGGAATCGAAACTTAGCCTCCCAGCCGCCATAAGCCCGCCCAAGCCAAACCAAAACCTCACTCGCTTCCGCGTAGATCCTGCTCATCAGCTGAATTTGAAACCCTTTCTCTTCAAGGTCATGCTGATTGGTGCATATCGCGTCAACCCACAGCCTTCGAGACGTGCTGTAAGGATCCTGAAATTGGTCCAATGCTGATTCCAGATTTTCTGTCACAGGAACCACAATCCCATTCACTACAATGTCCTGGGTTATTACAGGATCGCCCCAGCAATATGAGAGGGCAACGTATCCTGATGCTTTGGAAAGTGTGCTGTGTCTGAGTTGACATTGAATCAGGCCGTCTGTTGACAAATCTGGTAATATTTGAAGAAGGCGAATATCGTGCTTGGATGTATCCAGTGGTTGGTATGGGAAAGGCTGGCGGTGTTAAAGCGATGAGCAAGATGACTCGAAGGAAGTAGCCATAATGACAGCTGGCTGAGGGATAGAACCAGTAGATATGAAGTATTGAATGCTATCGTTGCAGTACCAGAAAGTTGAGAACTTGAGAGCTGGTAATGGGAGAGGGGGACATGAAAATATTTCCGGGTTGCGGAAATCCTCAACAGTGAGGCTCAGTGGCTTGCGCATCTGACCATCCCACCCTCCTGTCTGCCAGATCCAGTTCAGTCTGCCTGGCTGTTCAGCCTGCAGGACATCTGCCAGGGTCTCTTAATTTCCACCTATCAATCATTTTTCAAGTGCAACATCAAAGTCAAAAAGGTACAGTCTCTCGACAAACTCTAGTAACTAAAAGAAAAATGATAACAACAGCGAAATATAATAAATTATTTGCTCTCTAGTTGTAGGACTTCTTAAGCGAGTCTGCGAAAGCGAAAGCGAAAGCGATAGCTATAGACTAACCTACAGAATCTAGCTACTAAGCTACTCTAGGAAGGTAGCTAGGCCGGGTATCACGCCACCAACTTGATAAGAATTGGGAGCCCAGACAATGGTAATCTGGGGAAGGGTAAAACATTAGAAAGCCTCCCAGTCTGCCTGCAGTGCTGCACAGCCTGGGCATCTGCCGGGGTCTCTTAATTTCCGCCCACCAACTATCACCTAAGTATAATACTATATTAAAATAAAAAAGGTACAGTCTCTCGATGAACTTCAGCAACCATAAGAAAAATAACAACAACAGCGAAATCCATCGCAGCATTTGCTCCATCCGGAGCTTCCTAAGCGGGTCTGCGAGCGAAGTCGTGTAAATTAACCTACAAAATCCAGCTACTCTAGGGGGGTAGCCAGGCAAGGAAATAGTTCGATATGTCTATCTACAGTCCCTTCGCAAAAGTAGCAAGATGTTTCGCGACTCCAGAACGTGTGGAAAAAAGCAATTCATATACAGCGCTCGGCAAATAGAACTTATTCCATGGAATTCTAGCGATTCCATTTTATATAGAATAATTCCAAAGTACATTTAAAAAGGCATGGAAGATTCTATTAAAAGGCCTCTAGAATTCCATAGAAAATAGAATTCCAGAGGCTGATTCTAACCAACCAGAGAACAGTATTTAAGAGGGGTAAATATTAATTAAGTAGCTATAGACTAGTAGTAAAATAACCTTAACCTACTATAATTGCGCTACAAATACCTACCTAGGTAATCTCGAAGGTATTTAATCTACCAACACTTCTCGTAACTAATACTATATCTATCCTTTACAACAACACCTTTTTTCGTAGATTGAATTTTTTGTTCTAAAACGCTCAATCTCTCTTACTCTCCCCTAACAAGCTGAATTCCTTCCATGGAGACTCCTCTAAGGAGGCCTCCGGCCACGCCTACGCCCCTAGGAAGGGGTATAGGGAAAAGGGGGGTACGCCCAATTCCTCCCCTCCCCAACATACAACAACAATTTGTCTCTGGGACCACTGAAGCTCTAGAACGTGGTGCCATAGGCCAAATCTTCTTTGGAGGCACCGCAGAAGCTGTAGACCACCACCTAAGTACTGCTCTTGATAGAGCACCTCCGGACC